TTGTTTTAGTACCTTTCATCTAGGACTGATATTTCTTGAGAGGACTTTTGGCAGTGAGACTTCAACATGTGGTCCGTGAATTATTTTCCTTTTAAAGGAAGAGAAGGGGTGGCCATAAAGGGTGTGGCCCCATGTGCCAGGAACTGGAGCATACATGTTCCATATATATTCTCTCTGATCCTCACATTATTCTATGGGGTAAGGACTTAATCTCAGAAGAGGAAACTATAGCTCAGTGAGGTTAAGTGACCTTTCAAGGACACAATGTTTTTAACAAGTACAACTGGAATTTCAATCTACCTTTGCACATAGAACCCATGTAATAAAATCCAGGTGGGTTATAACTTTCTACAGCATAATAATGTTGTGGTGAGAATCAAAAGAGCTCACTAGAAATAACATTTCTCAACGTACGTAGTTTTTTTTCTATTGAATTAATAACAACAGCAACATTTATTAATTTAATAAATATTTACTGAGCACCTGCTGTGTACCAGGCTGTATTAGCTTTTGTTGCATAACAAACCACTCCAAGGCGTGGCACGGTGGCTCATGTCTGCAATCCTAGGATTCTAGGAGGCCAAGGTAGGAGGATCACTTGAGGTCAGGAGTTCGAGACCAGCCTGAGCAAGAGCGAGACCCCATCTCCACCAAAAATAGAAAAAGTTAGCCGAGCATGGTGAAGCGTGCCTGTAGTCCCAGCTACTCAGAAGGCTGAAGCAGGAGGATCCCTTGAGTCCAGGAGTTTGAGGTGGCAGCAAGCTTTGATCACACCACTGCACTCTAGCACTCTACCCACGGTGACAGAGCAAGACTCTGCCTCAAAAACAAACAAACAAAAATTGGTCTGTAAAGCTTGTGCCACTGACAAGTCAAAAAGGAAGTAATTAATACCAAACATCTCACAATACTTCTGCAGCTACAGGCAAGGTGACACTTACAACTGCCCTGCTGCATCATTACACAAGTGCTAAGCCATGGTGCAATGCAAAGTCTTCACATGCAGTTTGAATATTCTAAACACGAAAAATATTTTTTAAAAAAACCACAACATTTTAAACCACTTTTAATTACACTTACCATGTCTGCAGAAGAATTGAATAACTACTTTGCACTTATCAGATTTGGTGAATATTTTGCACTTCTCTACATGTCTTTCAAGGGAATTCAGAGATTTAAAGATGGGCCCAATTGACTGTAACACAAATACATTAAACATATTAAGCACATACTTAATACAGCTGTTTGATTAGTTTTTTAAAAAACTAACAAAAGCATGTGTATTCATAAATGAATGGACTTGTCCTGTGTGACATTTGAACTATTAAGTACAGAATACATGTTATGTTCTGTATAACAAATATTTCTACAGAATAAGAGAAAACCAGGGCCACTTATATTTACCTTCATTCCCAATTTGCAATTTAAATTCAATGTGCTGTCATTACCATTCATTGTCACTGAGGGTGACCATTGATAATGTTGAAAAAACACAGAAGAGAACAGGATACATCCATACGCTGACCGACAAGAATTCACGGATCTTAGAGAAAGCTGGAAAAATAAGATAAAGGCTAGTTAGCAGAAAATCAACTTTCTTTAAACAATTGTTTAATTTTTTTTTTTTTTTGAGACAGAGTCTCACTCTGTTGCCCGGGCTGGAGTGCCGTGGCGTCATCCTAGCTCACAGCAACCTCAAACTCCTGGGCTCAAGCGATCCTCCTGCCTCAGCCTCCCAAGTAGCTGGGACTACAGGCATGCGCCACCATGCCCGGCTAATTTTTTCTATATATTTTTAGTTGTCCAATTAATTTCTTTCTAATTTTAGTAGAGACGGGGTCTTGGTTTCGAACTCCTGAGCTCAAACAATCCGCCCACCTCGGCCTCCCAGAGAGCTAGGATTACAGGCGTGAGCCACCGCGCCCGGCCTAAACAATTGTTTAATTTTTAAAAGTCCATTGTTTAACATCACAGTAAGAGAATGTTAACTATGGACTACGCTAATCAGTGTGTATTGAATTTGCATATGTACATACATGTGTACATATCTACATTGAATACCCGTATGTTAAATCTTAAATCTTGCAGTTGAAAATTTAAAATAGTAAATGCCTACGGGGTCTGAACTTTAATGTGTGAAGTGGCAGAAAGCAATGTACGGGGGAGTTACAGCATATGGGCAACCTCACGCCTTGTCTAAGGGGAGAAACCGTTCTCAGTTTCAGCAAACTACTTCCACCTGGGAATGTAGGCCCAAAATGGTCAGGTCTTCTGAATTTTCATGAGAAGCAGGAAAAATTGGACTGTCTCAAGTCTTAAATGTTAGAAGTTATTTTAAATTTTTACAAAACCATGCAGGTCCACAACACATTTCTGCAGGCCATATCTAGTCTCGTGACCACAAGTTTATGACTTCTGGTTTAAGTCAGTTATGTTTATCTGCATGATTTTCAATTTTACTATGCTCAAAATGTATTCAGATCTATAAAATAAAAAACAGCGAAAGGGATAATTACAATTTCTGGATTTCCTGGTTAACATTCAATCTGACTGGGATCTTTAAATATCTTCTCTTGCCTTAATACATTGTCTGTTACTTAACTTTCTTACTTACACCTTTTTCAGATGGGTCTAGCCACAGCTCGTCACTAATTCGTGATAAAGCTTGAATTGCTTTCCCAAATACTGTGGAGGAAAAAAAGGTGCTTGCTCACATTTCTTTGCCTCTAACAATAAAAACAAATCACAGGACTACTTTAGCATTCAGAGGACACAAGATAAATTCATTTTAAAAAAACACTTTTGTAGACTAATGCTACATTGGTTTAATAGAGTATAATACCCTTGGCAAAATGCCAGACACATAGTAAGAACTCGATCAATTTGCAGAGTATGTGAAATGATAAAATTCAACAAAATTCTTCCTTTGCAGTGTTGCATGGAGCTACTATGGCAAGCCAATTTCCATACTAATATATTTTGAAACTTGATTTAAATAAATATATTTGCCCCCCAAAAAAGTGTGAAAACAGTGCATGGAGAGGATGATTTGAAGTGTTTTTTAATAGCTTTACAGACAGCAAAGTCAAAACAAGTCATGACAGAGAAATTATGGATATTCAAGATGCATCTGTGGTGTTTTAGGGCAGCATGGAAGATGCCAGACTTTCCCATCAAACATAGTCAGGTGCCCTGTCAGAAAGAGATGCTAGGGCTGGATGAAACAGTAGTCTGATCCAGTATGTCACTGTTAATGTTCTTCTGAGTTATGACTAAGTAAACTCCATGGCAAACTGATATGGGACACTATGCTGCAGTACAAATGGATGGCCATTTCAATCCATGCAAAAGTATAAAAAAGGGAAAATAATTCCAGAACATAAAATCAGATAACAATGGTTAAGAATCACAAGTGTGTACACTGGGAAAGATAGGATGACCCAAAATAAAAAGTAAAGATATTTGTCCTTTTTTACCACCTTGACATTCACCACTTTTTCCTGGAATGGGGGATGGTTTCAGGATGATTCAAGGGCATTACATTTACTGTGCAGTCAAACCTCTCTGCTAATGATAATTTGTGTTTGCAGCCACTCCCCAGCGCTAGCATCACTGTCTCAGCTCCACCTCAGATCATCAGGCATTAGATTCTCATAAAGAGCCGGCAACCTAGATCCCTCCCATGCGCAGTTTACAGTAGGGTCCTTTACAGTAGGGTTCGCACTCCTATGAGAATCTAACGCAGCCACTGATCTGCCAGGAGGCGGAGCTCAGGCGGTGATGTGAGCGATGGGGAGCGCCTGTAAATACAGGTGAAGCTTCGCTTGCTCCCGTGCTCACTTTCTGCTGTACGGCCCTGTCCCTAACAGGCCACAAACCAGTCAGCCCTGGGAGTTGGGGAGCGAGAAGCTTACAGTCTAGGAGGGAAAACAAAATTAAACAATCAAACAAATAATTGCTTATTGACAACTGAGATATACACTGCAACAGAGAACTTCCTAGTCCTCTGAGACCATGCAGAAGCGGGGAATTTGTGCTTCCTTTTCCTGCTCGTTAACACTGCCCCATATCTGTCCTCAACACTCCAGAAGCCGGCCACAACACAAAATACTTCTCAATGACCATTTTCAGGTTACAACCTTTAGGAAATCATTGCTTTTCTAAATACTTTCTGGAGTAACTTCCATTTCTAAAGTGCCATTTACAATAATAATAATAGGTCCTGTACGTTCCCATCTATTACTGAGGTTTTTACATGCTTTTCTATCTCATGCCTACAACAAACCCTATAGCGGAGGTGCGGTTATTATTACCATTTTACAGATGAGGAAACTGAGCCCCAAAGTGATTTAGTGACTTGTCCGAGGCTGAACATTAAAAAATGGTAGAATCGGGAAGAAAAACCAGCTTTATGCTTTTCTCTTGGCACAAAAACACTTTTGCTAAGCATTAATTATACTCCCAACTCCTCCCTACACAGTCCTCACTATCCCGAGTTCGAGGCCTGATAACGATTTCATTTCATAGACACCACCCCTATTAAATATTATTCATAAATAAAAAATGAGCCTTCATCCTCCCCTCAGAAGCTAACAGGACCCGGCGTGGGTGGGGGCTGGCTGTGGCAAAGGCTCTTGTCCTCAGTCCCTGTGCATAAAGGCAAAATGGAAAAATAAGACGACGGTGGAGATGCCCCATGAACCTTTGGTTTTCCCTCCTCTACACAGCAAGGCAAGAAAGGCGTCTCCACCTTTCACCTGACTGCCGGTCATCACGCACTTCAGCATGGCTACGGGCCCTGAAAGGCAAGGTTGGATGGCGCGCCTCAGCTCGACGGCCCCGGGTGCCCGGATGTTGCCCGCGCTCTTCGAAGCTTCGCGATCTCATCTCCCCACCCTACCACTCTGCCACCACTAATTCCCAGAGTGCAGGTTCGCTTTACGGCGGGGAAGGGCCCGTGCGGGCCTCCGTACGGCAGTTTTCTGTCGACTTCGTTTTTCATTGGTTGTGAGCGAGGTGGGCGGGACGCCTAGGAGCCTGAGGAAGAGGGCAGCGGCGGTTGTGGTGACTGAGCGGAGCCCGGTGACAGGATGGTGAGGACGGTAGCTGCGGCGACTGAGGCCTGGCTCTCGGCCGGGGAGCTGCGTCGTTGGGAGCCATGGAGAGTCTAGGGGCGAGGGCGATGCCGGAGGCCTTGGAGGGCGCGGCCCAGGCGCTGGTCGGAGAAGGCCCACGACAGGGCTGGGGAAAGAAGGGAGCGGCCACCTCTGGGTGCGGCCGGCCCTTGCCTCGCACGGGGGCCCCAGGCGCCAGAGGACGGCCAGGGGTGTGGGGGGGAGGAAGGTCCCTCTTAGCTGCTCGTCCCGTCACGAGATCCGCTCGCCCAAGCCAGGGAAGGCTTTGGGTCCTGTGACTCGAGCGTCCCCGAGAAAGGGGCACGGTCCTCCTCCGTTTCCAGACGTTTCCCTCCTCCTTCCCCGCAAAAATTACCCCCCTCTGGTTGGAGTGTACTATTTACCACCTCCGTGTGGCAAAAGCTGGCCTCTCGGGTGCAAAACGGGAAGTAGCGAGCAGAATTCCCTGCCCCTTTACGTTTGCCATGCAGGGAAAGGGAATAAAAAACATCCCCTTGGCCCCCCAAATAACATGCATGTGCCACTGGAATGTGGAAGTGTGCTCCCAGAGGGCAGGAGTTGGCCCTTAAGGTTGCTGAACTAGTTGTTTCTTCAGGAGGCTGCGACCCTTTAGAGTAGGATTCCTTAATGGTCTGTGAACTCTGAAGTTGTTTGGAAAATGGTGTGAATATATGTACGTTTTTCTGGGGAGAGGGCCAGTGTTGGCGCCAAGGAGTATTTTGGGGAGCTTTACCTCTTTCTTCATCAGACTTCCCCAGTCTCTTCCAGCTAGCTTCAAGCCATCACTGCTCCTCCCCCAATAAATTGATTCCCCTAAGACCTTCCTGCGTAAAAACTGGGGCGCTGCTAAGGGAGAGGACTCGTAGCTGCAATCAGATTTTCAGACGTGCCCATGACTCTGAAAAGTCAACTGTTTCAAGAGGATCTGTGATCATCTTGATATTGGTGTTGATGGAGGTTATCTGTAAAGTGACTTCTCTCTCTGATAGGCATCAGTTGCATTTTTAAGATATTACTGTTCCTTGACAAATAACGCCTTTTCAAGAGTGGCTTATAGACGCAGCGACCAGAGATTTATAGTGTATGTTTCTTTAAAGGCTTTAATGCCACTTTTGAGTTTTGCTTCTAAACAGACTCCAGTTTGAAGTAATTCAGTTTACAGTAATTTTAAGACACCTATCCATAGGAGAAAATGTAATCATTACTTGCCATGATTCCATCGTCATGTTTCTGAAGTGTTGAGAGATGAACACTATTTTTTAGGGTAGTTGTACTGGCACATTACTTTTCATATGAAATAGAAAGAACTGGGCAAAATTTAGCATTAGCCAATTCTTTTGTAATTAAAAGCGTTTTATTTGGCAAACAAGACACTGCAATGTGCAAAGTCTATGGGCAACAAATTCAGGTCCAATTTTAACTGAATGAATGTGTTTGTTTTTATTGTCTTTATCATCTTTGGTTGGCATGTTTATCGCTTGATAATGTATTCACGGAGCTCTGTTACATCCTCTATAAAAAATAATGACCTACATGTGGCAAAATTTTCCAACTACTAGAATTTTGAATGAATTAAAATCAATATACTCGAGGCATAATTAGACCCTAAGAATCCAGAAAATGTTAACCTTTAAGCTATTACTGGTGAATTTTACAAATTGTCTTCTAAACATCTAAATTAATAATTTTTTTTTTTGAGACAGAGTCTCGCTCTGTCACCCCTGGTAGAGTGCAATGGTGTCGTCATAGCTCACAGTGACCTCAAACTCCTGGGCTCAAGCAATCCTCCTGCCTCAGCCTCCCAAGTAGCTGGGACTACAGGCGCCCACCACCCTGCCTGGCTGATTTTTCTATTTTTAGTAGAGACTGGGTCTCCCTCTTGCTCAGGCTGGTCTTGAACTCCTGAACTCCAGCAGTCCTCCCACCTTGGCCTCCCAGAATGCTAGGATTACAGGCGTGAGCCACCGTGTCTGGCCTAATAATTTTATTTTATAAAACTTTATAAAAATCTAAACAGAATGGAAAACAAAAGGGATGGGAATCAATGTGGATAACTAGATTAGAAAAACTAGAAAAAAATTGACAGGACAAATTTATAAAAAAGAGTATATATGTGTTTGTGTCATGTTTAAAAAAACAGTAAATGTTTCTTTTGGTATTGTTTTGAGCACAGCTGATTTTTAACATATTCTTTCATAACACTCAGAAATCATTAACAATTGTTTGCATTTTCATTTGGTACGGGTTTTTCGTTGTTCTTTTTTTGGTTTATTTCTTTTCGTTACTTTCTTTTAACATTGGTCATGTTTCACCCTTTTTTTTCATCCCCCTGTCTGCAATCAACTTCTTCATTCCACTAAGGCGGGGCACAGAGTAAGTTCCTTCTCTTAGCTCCTACTAACAGTGGTGGTTGGGTGGCTTATTACTGACGGTGGCTTGTTAGTTCCTCCGCCTTTTAAGGTCTATCAGATAGGAAATAACCAAATTCCCTGCTTTGATTGGGTTGGTTCTTTATTTGAATTTAATAAGACTTCCATTTACAGGATGTTTTCCTTTCTTAAAGGGCTCTATGTCTGTATCTAACCTGATTTCTTAAAGTGTGGAATTTGGGCAAGGACACTCCTCAAAATATGACGTGTTATGTGACACTATTTCTCCTATAACTTTGTCACCAGCTGGAAACCAGAGGATTCTGTTCTCCTGAGGATCCTTACTAATTTGAAATCATTTCTGTATGGTCATTGCTACAGTTATATGTTTAGACTGCTAATAGTCTTGAGTTCACTTTATAGAATTTGTGTCATCAATCACTATAAAGTACTATGTCTTACTAATGTTCTTTCTGGTACATTCAGATTGAACAGATCGTTGATCATTAGTCCTAAACATTTCAACCTATTATAGACATATACTCTTTTATGAGTTTGGGATTCTTCTTCTTTTTTTTTAATATAGAAATCTATTTTTTACCTTTTTCTCAAATGCCAGCTTCTCACATTAACTATGTACTTCAATCCATATGTGAAGGGATCCCCCTCTAAAATGAAGATTGTTCTATATCCAGGTACTTTTACATTGGCTACCAATGAGGGTGGAAACTTCATAGTGGTTTTTAGTTTTAGGGATGTTTTGTCCACTGAGATCTGCATTGAAACAATTAATATAGATCATTGAACAAATACCAGCTGAAACTAGTCTTTATAAAGAAGAAACTTGTTTAACAATTTATTTTAAAGTGTGCTAATTTTATAACCTTGTGTTACTTCAGTTACTCTATGTCCTGATAACAGTTCCTTTTCTTTGCATTCATTTTATTTTTGTTGCAAAGTGAATCAAGTTTGTTTTAGTAATCATTTTAATTTTACACATTTTGTTTTTTGGTTAATTTTAATTTACAAAGTCTGTGGTGGCAAAACTATTTTGTTTTATCCTATTAAATATTTAATGTTTTTTTTTGATAATATTAAGGAATAGTCATGCCTTTAAAAGCAGTTAAAGAGCATGTACATTTATGAATGGGATAGCTGAAAATACCCCATATGGAATGGAGGTGCTTATACTAATCAAGATGAAGAAATTGATTCTGTTGTCCTTTGAAGGACAGCTATTATTTTAAAATGATCTTTCTAACGATATTCTGTTAAATGGCTAAATTTAATGTTTTTCAAATCTTGAAATTTTAAAATTAAAATCTTATAGGATTGGGGTTTTATATTCTTTTCTATTTAAGAGCAAAATTTATTTTTGTCATCTGAGACTATGTTGCAACTCTAAACCACCTCATACTAAATTCATCACTTATCTAGCTCTCTTTTTTGTCTTAATTATCTAATTAATGTACATGAAAGATTATGAAAATATTTTTTTAAATTTGGGAACTATACTGAGGGTACGTAGGCAGTTTAATCCAGACAATAAAATATGACAGTGAGAATTTCTAATAATGAAGGAAAATGAAGATATCAAAGATTATAAATCAAAAGCACATATTTACTTATTCAAACTCTGAAACATAGGCTATTTTTATGCCTCTGTAATGTATAGCTAATAGTTTGAAGTAACAAAAATGCTAAATTTTGGCTACGATACCTCTAAATAGTTGTCAGTCTAGTAAACATAAATTACAGAATTAACTTTTTTTCTCTACCATTACATTTTTAACAATTCCTTTTAATAATGTTTCTAGAATTAATATATAGGTTTCACAGAAACTGCAGAAATATGAATTACCACATCAGTCTTCTAAAATGCCAAATTCCATAGGGCTCAGTAGTATACTTTTCATTTTGCAATTTTTTTTTTATTCAGTGTAATTTATAGGTCTCTAAATGAACCACTTTAGAATGCTTTATTTTATTCTTGGTAAATAAATTGAATGATTACCTATATTGTGTGTGCACAACCATTTATTACAAAATAAAATAAGATTGATTTAGAACAGAGTACATTACAATATGTTTGTTTAATGGTCAGGATAGGAACTGTATGAATAATTTCTGCTATGTGGAGTTCTGGATCACCAATAAGCTTAATTTAAAAGGGGAATTGTGGGAGGAGAATATTTTGTTTTGATGTCATGTTTAACATTACGCTTTATCTCACTTTGACACTTTAAAGTTGGTGTTGGTATTAGGAGATCTGCACATCCCACACCGGTGCAACAGTTTGCCAGCTAAATTCAAAAAACTTCTAGTGCCGGGAAAGATTCAGCACATTCTCTGCACAGGAAACCTTTGCACCAAAGAGAGTTATGACTATCTCAAGACTCTGGCTGGTGATGTTCATATTGTGAGAGGAGACTTCGATGAGGTGATGTATTTTCCTTTCCCTTCCCAAATATTTCCTTTTTTGATTCTTATATAAGCTTTATCGTTTAGATGAGAGTTCCTCAACTAGTAAGGTCTTCTTTTTTTCAAATGTAAAATTACTACATATGCTCCTCCCTCACTGTTTGAAAAATCACTGGATTTAAACTACCCAGTAAATATGTTTAATACTTGTTCTAACTAAATAAATTGCTATTGGGTAAAAGTGGCTTTGTTATTGTTTTTTGGTAGTGCTATCATTTAGTTTATATATAAAGTTTTTGTTATGAACTTCTCACCACCTCTACTCTATTCCAAGCTACCACATCACTGTCTTGTATTCCAGCTTCCTAATCTCACCCTTCCTCCTTCCACAGTTTGTTCTCCAAGTAGCAACCAGAGTGATCCTTTTAAGTGAAGTAAGATCACATCACTGCTCTGCTGGCAACCCTCCTGTGGCTTCCTTTCTCAAGGGTTGACTTTATAAGGCATGAGGGAGTTTTGAGGGAGTGAGAACCGCTCTGTATCTTGGATGTTGTGGTGTTCAACAACTGGGTACATTTGTCAAAATCCATTGAATTGTATACTAAAAAGGGTGATTTTATGTGTGTAAATTATGCCTCAGTAAACCTGAGTTTAAAGAAAAAAATAAGGAGCTCTGGAGTTCCACCTTTGCCCATTAGTTAATAATGAAATTTTTGGCAAATTACTTCCCTTTTTTTTTTAACTGGTCAAGTGAAGCAGTGGGAGTGGAGAAGGAACAAGGGAATCTGTAACTGGTTGTGGTCAATTAGTTGTAATACTTCCCCTTTCTCACCCTTAGTAAATATGATTGGAATAGATGATTTTTAAGATGCCAGCCAGTGCTAACATTGTATGATTTAGCATGATAAACCTGATTCCAGTTTGAAATTTGTATTTTATATTTCTGGGAATATAAGCTTTTCATAGATTAAACTTGGTTGATGGTCTTTAATGGGGTTCTTTTATACCAGACTGAATGGGCATACTGTCTTCTGTTTTTTAGTGGATTTAAAAAAGAGTTTGGGGCCGGG